TGTTGTACTGAACCTTTCTCTGGCTGTAACTGATGGTGTGTAGGTTGTGTTTGGATTCTAAGATTTACAATAAAGTGTTTTCTTAAAAGGAATGATTTGTTGATATGCTGCGTGTTAAACTGCAGTAGATGTCTGTGAACTAGACGTTGATGGAGACGAAGAATTCCAGCTGTGGCCTCTGTGGTAAACTGGTATAATCGGTCAATAAAACCAGGCTATAACTAAATGTTCTGTTGGTGCCAGACTCTACCCACATGTTGGATGCTGTGTTCATTAAAAGTGCACTCTGCCAATTTCACACACGAAGATTGGTATACTTGTTAGTATAGGAGTACTGAGCTGCTGAACTGAGGAGTGCTACTGATAAATCTGCGTTTAAAGTGTGAGGTGGGGGTTTGGATAACGTGGGTGTTTAGGGAGGGTCTAATGAAAGCCTTCTAATTGAGTTGCATCATGGGAAATGTAGGATCCAGTATTGTTGGAACCTGTAAGAAGAACTAAGAGTCTTGGCCCCTGCTGCATTAATTCTGACCATTCTTCTTTTTTTTTTTTTTATCCATCTCTTCCAAGTCTCCAAGTTTATGAAAGTGTTATACTGGAATTAATTAATGAATTAATAAACATTTTGTTTGTATAATGCAAATAACAGAGACAGGACTGTTAAGGCAACTGGTTACTGATGGTGGGTAACATTATAGTCTTCTTCTAATCCTGATCAATTATAGAATGCATCTCTCAGCTACCATTATAACAAAGAACTATAATAATCTATAAAACATTTTATGTTTCAGTTATTATTTGACAGCACAATGAAATGGAATTGGTTATATGTTAGAGATAAAATGTGAAGACTCAAGAGAGACATTTCCTTACATTCAAGGTAACACAGGAGTCATTCAGCTATAGTTTTAATGAAGGATTTCATTGCACAGGTCTTTTATTTATTTATATCTAACGAGACAGCAAATTTCACTTTACCCCCTACTGTTTGTAAACTGGAATATCTTTGTAATCTAAGCCACATACATTGTCTGGAGAGCCCTCTTGCTTCCCTCTGAGCTCTAATCTCTTCAACCCCGTCTGTCTTTGCACCGGCGTACATATGTCGAAATGAGCTGCCAGCTTTACTCGGCATCGTAAGAGAATGTTTGAATACAGTCCCGTCCCCTTCACACTCTCCATCTCAGCCCAGGATCCCTGCTCTGGCCTGCTCTGCTGTGCTCCGCATATTTTTCCTCTTCTCTCCATGCCTCAACTCTTCTTGTGTCATCCCCCAGACGTCCATTTCTCCCGAGTCTCGCTTAGTGTCTTTCTCTCTCGCTTTTACCCCCTCACCGTAATGCAGAAGCGCAGCACCCCATTGCTCCGAGTCGATGGATGGATCTGTGTGTGGAGGGAGCCGGCTCAGATGTGTCCTTCAGGCTACTTGCGGAATCAGTAGCACAGAGCCCCACTGAGCTCTGATGAATGTGTGTAACTCTCAGAGAGAGCAGCGCTGATGTAAATTGTATTGAATTTGGAGTTAAGGGCCTGAAACTCAACAAATGGAAAGCACCTATTCGCCTAGAGTCTTTGCAGGTTTTCACATTTATTCAAAAGGACTGATGGGAATCCTTGTCCCTTGCAACTTATGACCAGCTATTTTCATTGTGTGACGTCTACCTCGATAATTTGGAGTTGCTACCTTTTGCACATAATAGATCTGGCTCCAGAACTGCAAACGGGTGGATAAAGCATCTCAAGGCTGTGTTGAGGCTAAAGCAAATGATCTGTTAAAATCCTGGTCTCCAATGTCTGAGATTCTGCACATTCTGTAATCTTTCAGTTAATAGAAGCTCTTCAGAGCCACAGATAAAAAAAATAAATAAAAAAATTGCATGTTCAAAAAACAGGCACATCTTTTGTTGGTTTCTGAAAATTTGGAAAAGTGATTTTCTCCACCAACGGCAGACATAAGTCTATAGTCAGCAGCTGGTTAGCTTAGCTTAGCATAAAGACTGGAAGCATGGCGAAACAGCTAGCTTGGCTCTTTCTAAAGGAAAAATCTTGGGAGAGGATTTCCTCCATCCCCCCCCAGTGTGCTGAGAAAAAGTCAAAGGAGCAGCTTGTCACTAGAATGAGAATAATTGATGCACCTTAAAGGTCAGTCCACCTTCGGGGCTAACCCCCTGCACTTTAATCGGCAGCCAGGTGGTAAGCAAGACACAGGAACTTGGCTTGGATCTTAAGAAGTGGTAGCATTTATTCACACACTCTCTCCCTCAACAGCACACTTGCTAACGTTACGCACTAAATATGCATAACATACCAACATGTTCTCAACTCCTAACGTCGTCAAATACCACAGCTTGGTCAATGGCTCTACTCTTCAAACTATGTCACACTATGACGCAGGTACCCCTCGAGGATCAGTTTTGGATGTGTCGGGGATGGCGTGTCAAGGTTCAGCTTGTTACATGCATGCTTTCTTTTTAAAATAAACTTCTGTGTTGGCAGGAAATGTACGGTTTCCACTCATTACATGCATACAGTCTCTTTTCAAAATAAACTTCCAATGTCGGTTGACTTAGTTTATTGTTTTACTTGCGCAAGAAAACTACTTGGTAGGCGAAGGAAAAGATTGTGGTTTGGGTACCTTTTTTGTTATGCAACCGCAAAACTACGGTAAAGTTTGAAACGTTGATTTGGTTTCACATGAGACTCGAACAGTCTCTGGGATGTAAGTCCTGTGTTTGTTTGACCCGTCCGTCCTTCCCTCCCACCCAACCTATGCAAACCTTCTTGTTCCGGCGGGGAGTCAAATTTGGTCCAGCGGGCTTGCAATACACTGGAGGAAAGCCTGGTGTTGGCTGTATTACAAACAGACATTAGTAATGTATCAACTCTTCCTTCAGATCGATAATGCAGGACCCAGGTTAAAGTTTTATTTAATATGCAACGGTATTAATATTTCGTCATTTTAAGCCATCGTACTTTGAATGTGCCCGGTAAATTGCAGCATTAGCCAATTGCTGAAACCTGATCTTACACAATGCATGCGCTTCCTCAAGGCTGTTCTTTACTCTACAATGGTGAAACACAAGAGGGTTGGATTAGCTTGTCTATGTCGATTGGGTATTACTGGATTTACCTTTAAGACCATTCAGTTGAAACTCTCTCCATCTGTCTGGAGGTTGAGCTATCTCCGGCACTCAGCTGACAGAAGACCAATTCCAAAGCAGAACGATGTGCAGTCTGGTGGGAGACCTGATGTAGCTGGACAGTCCTGGAGAAAAAGGTTGAATCTCTGAGTCAATAAGGGTATTTATATTGTTATTCCAATTGTTTTCTCACCTGAGGTTAAAACTAAGCTCCGGCGAGGTCAGACAGATAGACACAACTTGAATACAGCAATAATTATCCAGTTTTATTGAAATTTGACCCTCAAGGGTCCTTTGCCAGTTGGCCTTTGTTCTCTAATGATATGCACAAGTAGACACTTGGGGTGCTAGGTAAATTAAAAGTCAAAGCTCTGTAAGATCTTGTCCGCTTGTCGTGGGAATCTGTTCAGTGTCTCACCCTGGCTTTGCCCCAGAGAGTGTTCAGCATCTTAATATGATAAATCACCGTCTGTCAGAGTTAACTATGGGTTATTAACGGCAACATTAATCAATACAATTACAGATTACAAATTATAACAGGGTGTTAAATTGCAGCAGACTGACAGTGAAAACACACACACACACACGACCTCAATTACCTTGACACTTAATTTATTTTTTTGTATTCTTAATTTCATCTTTGGCCTCTCAAATCTCCTGACAGCAAACATGAAATTGCTGAACATGTATAGTCAAAGCAAACACAGTGATGGGCTCGTTAAAACAAGGGGAGCGGAGAGGTGGAGCTCTGGTCTGGCTGCAGCTGCTGCATTGGCTGTCTGCTCAGCGGGGAGGGGCTGAGGGAGGGAGAGAGAGAGAGAGAGAGCGAGAGAGTTGGGGGAGGAGGGCAGTGCTCTTGTTGGGAGATAGGGAATGCCCGTTAGTCGCATCTGCCAATAATAGCGCATCAGCCAGTGCGCTGCCATCGGGAGAACAGAGCGCAGGCAGTGCGGAGGACTGAGCTGTGGAGCACAGAATGGTACACTAGAGAAGACGGGCACAGTCAGAGAGAGGCAGAGTAAAAGGACGAGAGACAGCATCAGAGGAGAGGAGGACAGAGAAGGAGCAGAGCAGTGAAGAGAGGACGGGAGAAAAGTTACCAGGTCAGCAAGATAGCGTGGAAGTGGAGCAGCTGAGACTCACCTCTCTCTTTCCCACCGGAGCAGCACAGGAGGAGAGTGATATTACAAGAGGGGACAGAGGGAGTGCTGTAACTTCTTCCCAGGAAAGACATTCCTGTCATAAGGGCGAGGGTAATGCTTCTCACAGGTCTCTTCTGCCACTTCATGACTATCACAGCAAGACAGCAGCAGCACGCTGGAGACACTTAAGCCTGCCATAGGTGCCTGAAATGTGCAGTTCTATACTCACTTCTCTACTGAAGACTTTCTCACCCAACTGTGTGCTCTGAGGTGGATGTAGTCGTGCGTCTGTGAGGCTTTTATCTTCGTGTTGCTTCAGAGTGTGAAGCAGTGGAGACTTGGAGGGTGATTTCTTCTGTCCTGTCATCCCTGAGACTATGGTAGACTGTGCGTCAGGGAGCCCTTCATCAGTAGCTGCAGCCCTAGAGCATGGAGAAGTCCAGCAGTGAGGAGTCAGCCATTCACCGTAGCCCCTCCGTAGATAGCCGTGACTCCGATTTTGCCCAAGCCTCCACGTCTGGCCGCCCGTTTGGCGGCCGCGGCTTCACTGCCGGCGCATTCTACGGCTCCACGGGGCCACGCAAAGACGCACAGCAGGGCCAGGCTGGAGTGGCAGCTGACGCCAGCGCAGGGGACAAGACCAACAACAAGTACACTTCACCCAAAGGCAGCAAATACGTGGTCTTTTACCTGGATCTATCCTTTGTGTTCCTCTTAGAATTCAAGAAGTGCAACATGGCAAGGGGCTGCCTCTGCTGCTTGAAGTATATGATGTTCATCTTCAATCTCATCTTCTGGGTAAGTGGCTCATCATTTTGTCAGTGATTTTCTCACCACACTTCACATGAATCTAGTTGGATGTTAATGATACAGATGTGTAGACACGGCTTAAAAGATGATGCAGTAAATCTGGCTTTAGTAACTCAGCACTAATCATTATCCACGTCCACAAATGTGAGTGTGTGAGAAGTTTTTTTTTTTTTTCTTTAAATGTTAATCGGGAAAGATGATGGGATGGCAAAGGGATGGTTGTCAGTGTAATCATGTGTTTTTATTACATCAGGCTGCCAATGCCTGTTTCTCCCTGTGCACGTTGCTATTCCTGGATATGACAGAGTCAGTGGCATTGCACCAGGTCTTCTTTTGTATGTGTGTGTGTGAGGGGGGGGGGGTCACTCATTCAGAGGGTTACATGATTTACGGTGAACATGGGAGTTGAAATACAGCTTTAGGCATGCAAGTGAAAAAGCATATGCCTCCACGGTGCAGCAACACATTATGCACCAAGGGAGTTGAGATGATCAGCTAGAGTTTTGGGTGATTCTGGAGATGATCTGACATTTGTGCTTAATTTTATTGTTCTCTCTTTTAATGTAATGTCTTTGCTCTAGGGTTAAGCTGACATCAATAATCAAGGAAATTATAAAAAACAGAATCAATGCACCAGGACAAAAAAAATAGATTCAACCCACAGAGACCTGGCCAACGTGTGGCAGGCTTTGCTGTGTACCCATGCATGGGCATTTGGAGTAAAAGTGGGCATCCCTTGAATATTTACAGAATGGATTAGAGGGCTTATAGGTTATGGGGCCAAGTCTTTTGTGTGGATGCAGCAAAGCGTAAAAACACCCAAACACTGGGGACTCTACCAGCCCCGGGCCACCATGTCACTGGGTTGTGAGCCCTGCTAACTGGGGCACATTGGAGGCATCAGAGTGGGCATTAGCTTGAGCCCAGCTGTGATCAGGGCCAGCATTGAAAACACACACACGTACACATGCCCCGCGCAAACCGAGATCCATCCCTTTGTCCGCTCCATATACTAAAACCAACAGCACTGACAGTGGCCAGGCTCTGTGGCCTGAAGCTGTGGACGTCTCTGACGCCCCGGGGCGACATATCCATGTCATACTCATATCATTAACCAGTCCACAGAGGAAAAAAGGCCAGAGCGATTGGCAGAGACAAATGGCTCAGGGGCTCTTCAGCGGGCCTCGCCTTGATGCATGTTTGTTTAAGGGAAGGAAAGGGTCAGAAAAGATTAGCTGATGTTGGATTCATGAATGCAGACATTGACTTACCTTGATGGGAAGCGGACACCTCCTTTTGAACTCATTCAGTACATCTACAGTGCAAGCAAGTGCTCCGGCCTTGATATTTAGATAGTGAGGGAAACTTTAAGCGATTTCCTAAATCGATTGCCAACACATAAATGATCGATCCGCGGTTAATCATTACGAATGTTTTCTGTAACTGAAACCTTCAATGAAACAGGTGAAATGGGTTATTCTCATAGAACAACCTCAGTAAAGAAGGTGCTTGAGTCAAAAAATGAATATGCAGAAAAAGGGCTAGAACATACAAATGCCTGTCAAAATGGGCTTCCCGGAAGATGAAGAGCTGTAGGGGACATGTGCTCCAAGCAAAGTCAGACCTCCGACACACCATCAATGGGAGCTACTACTGTTCCACTACTGTTCTGTCAAATATAAAATCGCATATGCTATGGTGTCACAGGTTCTGATCATGGCACATGACACGTTGATATAATCATTCAACCGATGAATCACGACAGCTCATCAATATTCTTTCTTTGAACTGCAAGTGAAATATGACCGATCAAGGCCCTATTACACCCTAGATTAACAGAGCGAAACCATCCATCACCTGTATGTCAGTTCTGGCCCACTTGGCTCTTTTAATAGCTCAGGAGTGGAGTGACCTCAGTGCGCTATTATGGGTCAACCTTTGGCAGAGGTCACGAGGTCATTATGATCCGCTATCTTCTTAAGGGGCGGTCACGGGGGATTTGTGTGAGGGTGTTTGCTTCCTAGGTTCTTTCCAGGCTCATTTCGTGCTTCACCCTTTTCAGTAGCAGAACCCCGCCACTAATAACCGGCTGCTGCGCACCACTAATAGGGAGGTGGAAAAGAGGCTTTGGATTTCAAGGCTGGTGGCCTCCAAAATCATGTGTAGCCTAGCTTGTTGGCCTCCATGGAAATGCATTACAACCATCGTGAAAGTGTACAAAAGCTCTCGCTATAGTGATTCTCACTGTAATGTGTGTGTGTGTGTGTGTGTGTGTGTGGGGGGGGATATAGGGACCTTAAGTGGCTATGGACTTTACCCCAGCGCAGCACATCCCCTGCTGTGAAATAATTGAATTTTTATTCTGGTAATGTTCACTTAATGAACACCCACCATGCATTTCCCCTCTTCTGTTCCCGCAGATTGATACTCTTGTTTTCCTCCCACCAGTAGATAATTTTAATGACAGTTTAATCAGTGTCCCATGGGAAGAGAGTAGGGTGATGAGGGGGTTAGGATGCAGCATGTGGCTGGTGAATCCGTCCATCAGCATGTGACAGCGCGAGGCTCATCAGCAGCTGGCCGGCTGACTGGCTTTTCTGGGTTCTGGGGCAGCAGTGTGCCTAGTTGAAGGTTAGCAGAGCTGGGAATAAAGGGTTCGCTCATCAACGAGGGGTCGGGACGGGGTGCCCTGAGCACTCTGAGATACTGTATAGGGGAGGGAGGGCTGAGAGGCGTTTTGTATCCTGACACCCCTGGGACTGACACAAGGTTACTGCAGCTGGTAGGGAGGTTTGCCTCTGAAGCTCTGACATCTCATCTCAGGACCGAAGGGGGAATGATGCGCTGCTGTAACCCGACACCAGGTATAGCGGGGGTCTCTTCTTTCTGACTGCGCACATGCATGAGCACACTTGCCGTACACACGCTCACCAGCCGAACACCACCCGCTCCACGGGGTTTACGGTGGTAACTTGAAGCACAAGGTAAACAGCGGTAGGCACTCCAGGCATCTCCATAGATGCGCTCATCCTCAGGCCCCCCAGCAGTTGTTCGTGACCATCTGGCTCCTCTTTCTTATAAGGGATTAGAGGAGTCTGAGCTGTAGGGGGAGTCTCGGGTAGATTAGAAAAGTATTGGGTGTAGCTGTTAGGATTGAGAGCACGACTCCTTAGGACAGCTCTATGCTGAAGCCAACAATCATCAAAGCAAATGGCCTTTGTTGCTGTGTCGTTTAGTCGGGGGCGGGGGGGGGGGGGGGCTGTTGTGCTCTCACACATACAGGAACTGTGACCAGCCTGATATAGTGATTGATGTTAAGACCTATTGGTGTCAGCCTTGTGAGCATATTAGTGTTGGTGTTCTGGCTAAGAGCAAGTCCGTCAGCCTCTTTCTCTGCAGTATGTCCTCTGTGCTCGCAGCCTCCCCTGTTAATCTCGTCCATTCAAGATTCAATTTACTCTCCACTGTTGCACGTATTTGTCTTGTCCAGTGATACTGAGCACCTTTCGAAAAAAGTAGAAGAAAAGAAAAAAAAGGCCCGAAAACACTACACAGGGATTTATTCTGCCAAATCACAAGCAACATCACACATAAGCTCATTTTTCCTTTGTAAGAGATAGGTTGCACTGTAGCTTAATGGGCCCATCCAAAGGTTTGCCATCATCATGCCATATCAAAAGCTAAAGCTTCATTTGATAGTCATATTTAAAAGAAAAGTGTCAGCTCAGCAGTCTTGTCCTAAGTACATGAGTATCAAAGCCGCTCCTTTGTTAGAGCAGAGAAAACCAAATGTGTTGAGCATTCATGAATTCCTGTGCTTACTTAGGGGATTGCTGCGGGATTTATAAACCATTTGGTCCCAGGCAACAGAAGATTAGTTTCCACATCGATTTAATCGCCGTGTTTGACATTTACGGTTTCAAATGTACCTGCGCTGTGACGCTACAAAGAGCAGAGCTATTGACGGACTCAAGGTGGTTCGTAAGAAGTGTATTTGAACGCCTGCGTCTGGTTGAATGAAGTTCCTTAAAGCATTTCACAAAAGCTGTCCCTTTCCCCCGGGATTTGCGATCCGAGGTGCTGAAGCAATTTGCCTGTTTTTACTTCTCCATGCCAGCACATGAAAAAGTGAAGTCATCTTTTATGGCTCAAGAAACCATGTATTGTAACTATTATTTTTTTTTCTTCGTCGTTGTCTTCTCCTTTTTCACAAGAGGCACAGCTGAACTCCATCAGCCACTGCCAGGTGAAACAAGGATCGTGGCAAGGGAAAATAGATGAGGGTTGAGTGGGCTCAGCGGGGTGATGAAACAAGCTGTATGTGTTGTGCTGTCACATGCATTTCATTTAGTCAATCCGCCGTGAAAGGGCTGGCTGTTGAATTCGATTTGAGTTTGAAATGGCAGAATAAAGAGTCAACCTCAGCCACCTGAATGTTACGCCTCCAGCCATGATAGGATAGGTAATCTGCGGATCTAATCAACGGTCAATACAAGCAGTCACAGATTAAATGTCTTCAAAATCATCCGTATCGAGCATTTATACTATATTAATTTCCTAAAATTCCATTGACTATATGTAGTTGCCACACTGCCGAACCTGAGATCCTTTTTTTCTGCAGCATTTACATAGAAAACCTCACTATATGTAAATGCATCTTAATTAATCAGTTGAAGCCTTGTTATTAGCATTCCCTATAGATCGCCGGGCCTTGATTGGTACGCCTGCCTTCGTCCAGCTGATCGTCTGGTGAGGTCACTCTAATTTACACGTCTCTCCGGCTGCTTCGATTTCCCAACTGTGCTGTGCGGCGCCGCTGAGCTCATTAGCTCATGCTGCAAATCAACCGGGAATGCGGAGCTCCTGTGTTTCACTCTCAAGGGGGTCGAGGTAATGGAGCGTGAGAGTCGGAGGTGTGCAAGTAGGTAGGTGGTGCTTTTGCAAAGGAATTAAGGCTCCCACCCCATCACTCTTTGAATGAGGTGGGC